GTGATACTGGATTGCATCCACGCTCCAGGTCAACTCATTTATAATTCAACCTTGGATTTTCTGTTTCCTCTCGTCAGATATTTCCAAGAAATTTCCCCCCCTCCACCACAGGGACATAAGTATGACATGAGAGAGAGGTGCTGTGTGATGAAGGAAAACATGGAAATCTGGGATGCCTGGTTGTGCGATTTGCTTGTACTTGCTGGCTCTGCTCATGTTTGATCCTGAATGTGTCGCTTTCGTCGGATGAGGGAGATTTTTCTGGGTCCACCTGACCCAGTTCATGAAGGACAGTTCCCTGACCCAGTTCATGAAGGATATGCTGCACTTGATGTACGATAGTCAGGTTCTCTTACTGTAGCAGGGACCAGTAATAGGCCAGGAATTGTTTCTCCAAAGGTACATCCTTCTCCACTGCAGACGGTTTGGCAATGCTCCTCACTTCTGGGGGCCTGTGCTGTGACTTCCTCACCGGGCTCGCCATATATTCCACATGGCATATTTTCCCACTGCAGGAAACTCTGATATCATAGCGTCTCCTGAGCTGAGTGGCCCCAGTGGCAGGGCTGCATGCACCAAAGTCTGGATGTGATGCAGAGCTCTTTCTTGCCTGTGTCCACTTTAAGCTGGCGGCCCTTTTTGTCAGTAATAAATAGGCCTGATCGGTATTCTCAGGTGTGGATTATGTGACCTCCAAAACCCAAAGAGACTTAAATTTCTTCATGGTGGGAGGTGTAAGATGAAATAATTTATATTTTAATTTTCATGGCATGCCCGTGACTCCTGCTTAAAATTTTTACTGATGTCAAAAGAATTCTGAATATTCATATGGTTCATCTCTCATCCTCTGAAGCCCCTCTGTCTAAGCAAGGCCTCTAACATGCTAGCCACTTCTTGCATATCTGCTCTGACTAACGTGATATGGTGGATAAATGTGATCATCTGTGGGTTATCCTGACAGTTCAGATCACTGCAGATTATATTATAACGGGGGAGGGAGAATTACATTGTCCCAGGCAAATCTGTGAAAGACACTTTTGTATATTGCATGTGAATGCAAACTGTTTTGGATTCTCTTTTCTGATAGAAATAGGAAAGCAATAATTGGCCAAATCAAGGTCACATAGCATGTACTTTAGGTCTTATCAGTCAGTTCTAGCAAAGATACAAGATCTAGCATGGAGGCTGCAATTCAGACCATGACTGGTCATCCTGAGGATCCTCTGGTTTCTGGAGGAGCCAGACTGCTGAGTTAAATAGAGATATGAAAATTATCCTTCAGATCCCATGGAAGGCACTAATTTCTGTTCTCCCCCTCCTCACCCTGAGGCACAATACTAATTCACTGTTTTGGCTGTATAGGAGACTAGTTTCAGGGACATTCACCTGGTCTTCCCACAATCATTACTCTTATTCTGTAGGCAAAGGATCCAATGTGGGACTGTAACTAATACCAAATATGTCTATTCCAATTATATGTTTGAGGGCTGGAAAAATTACCCTTGAGTGGGTTAACAGACCGTGTGGACCCACCATGAGCCTGGTGTTAAACAGAATATCATTTTCTCCCTGCCCCTCATATTGCCTCACAGTAGCAAAGGGACTCCAATGCCGTTTCAGGTCTCCAGGCACTAACATCAACTCGGGCTTTGTTACCAGCATTCCTCATTTTTAACATCCATTCTCCAGTGTGAAGTAAGCTGAGTTAATGATCCTAGGTTCTTCTGGGGAAGGACGGAAAGAATCGTTCCTTATAACCACTTGCTGTGGTGTTACGGGGTCCTTCTTCCTGGAGACCCCATTCCTCCTCAGTCAGGGGGTTCTAAGTGTGAAAACTGGCTCTGGTCCAGAAGTAAGGCACAGGAAGCTGTCTATCCTGTAGATGGCGGACAGCTGTAGACTCTCTCTCAAATCAGAACCTCAGCAGGGACGGCATTACAGCCTTCCGTGAAGGGGGATCTGGTGGTGGATTGTTTTGCTACTACACATTCTCATTTATTTAAAAAAAAATTCTCTTTGGGAAAACACATTAGACTAAAGAAACCTTAATCAATACTAGTTTTAGATAATTATAGGAGGAACCTGTCAGATTTAGTGAAAAAGGAGACAGAGATTGCACACACCTTAGTGATTATGCCTGAGAGTATGGCCTCACTATTGCAAGTGTTAGCTATCATTAGCAAAAGACCTTGAAAGATAACCCTTAAAAACAATAACAAAAGTGGTTACATTGTGAGATCAAAATTAGACACATATGAAAATTTTTTAAAAAAGAAAACCAAAACTGTTTTAGTGCTATAGGAATTGACAGTCAAGGATTATAACCAAATACTCAGTGGCAACATCCTACACTGATTCAAAAATTTCAATATCTCAAGACACTGAAATGTAAGTGATGATCTTGGGCTGTAGGGAAAGTGTGAGATGATTCAAGAAGTGGAACTAGCAACGATCAAGTCACTGATGTTAGAGGTGCAGACAAACGAGGTGGCTAAGTGGTTTCTGCCTCCCTTGATCCTGAGTGTATCAGGCTCATGATGTGGGTCTCTCCTGATCCCATGATCCATGGAAAGGCCTACTGTTTACCTGGTGATCCTCTTGTGGCACTAAGCCTGGAACCACGTGACAGCTTTCGTTGAAATAGTCCATGCTGTTCTTCACTATAGCTAATCCAATCTATGCAGAATCACATTTTAACTCAAATACGGGGAGTCACAAAGGAGAAAATTTGGTATAGGAGAAATATGCAGAAACATGGAGAAAACAAAAAGGAGAATGGAGCAGCAGAAAACTTGACTTTAGAATTAGCGAAAATGTAGAAGAATAAAAATTCTGTGTGTGTGTGTATAATATTGCTCAGAGATAAATGCATTTTGTTATTTTTGGCATTTTATTTTATTTTATGCTTTGGGGCTTTGTAGACAGCTTTAGGAAATCTCATTTAGTGGACAGTTGGCCTATTTCCTAAAGTTTATCAGAAACCTATTATACTTTAGTTCTCTCCTGAAGCATTTATTCTTGGCTGTGGATTGCCCACAAATTCAATTAGCACAATCTCAACTCAATTCACCAAGTATTTAACAGCAAGACTGAGCAGAATGAGATTGAAAAGGGATTCCTCTAACACACAAGTTGTAGTTAGGCTACTAAGAATAACTGCAATTCATATTCTAAAATTTTCCCCTTAAGATTGGGATAAAATCAAAGCAATTATTGTAACAGCAATAACAATAACCAACATTAGTATAGTACACATATTTCTACAGAACTGGTTCACAGCCATCATTTTTGTTATTCTTTTCAATAACCCTTCAAAGGCAACTAAGCATTACCGAATACAGTCTTGATACAATATTGATCTGACTGGGGAAAATGTGAAAACAACCATTTATCTTTGTAATACTGATAAGAAAGCCTAAAATGGCTTGGGCAGTTTGTAATGCACTACAGTTTATACTTTTGCTCAATATTTTAGCATAGCCTTTTAACCCAGTTCCATAATAACAAACAATGTTTTTCTTGTCTCAAAGTATTTATCCTCATCTAACTGTCACCTAACAAACCACTGGCTATCGTTTTCACAAATATGAAGGGGAAAATAACAATCATCATTTACGTTTTCTAATAGTAGATATCTATCCATGCATGCAACAAAGCAGTGTGAAATCACTCTGCCCTACACCTGCTAGTCTGGCATCTACTCTAGGAGGCTCCTGTACCTCATCATCCTCAGCTGATTCTTCCTTCCACTTTTCCTGAGGAAACCTTTGTGCAAAGTATTTGCCCTGACTGCAGGATGAATGAAGAGGCTACATTGAAATCTTCACTGAGCTTCCTTTGAATCTCTGGAATTCGAAACCATCAAATACTTTTTTTTGGGAAACCGCAGAATGTTACTCTAAGAACTAAGTCAGCTCTGAACAGGTAGCACATTTTCCTGCACTCCCAGCAGCAAGGAGTCACAAGGAATTGCTTTAGAAACCTTTGGCCCCAACCTTCTCTGACCGTGATCGGGTATTTTAGTTACCATGATGCCAACACAGATTTATACTGCTCTTCCTGGAAGAAAAAACCTTAGTATCTATGTGCCTTAAGACATAGTTATGGTTTTAAATTCTAGCCATTATTTCTTAGGGAATCTGTGGTGGCTTTTATAACAGACATAGCACCTGCCTGTGGGTCACCTGGCCTTGTGGACTGCTCGACTCAAGCCAGCCCCTGGGTTCATGGTGCTCTTCCTTGCCTGGCTCACTCGTCTCTTTCCTAACAGAAGCTGCTGACGGAGACTGTGCAAGCCTTCATCTTTCACAAATTTCTGACGCTCCCTGGATGTGTATGGAGATCCCCAAGGCCCCAGAGCAGTGCTGTATAGTTAGGGGTTTCTCCTCTGCACCCGAATTTTCTACCTCTAACCTAAAAAGGCAGAAGGCTTCATAGGAGCCTGCTCTGATTCCATGGAAATGAGTATATTTGTAAGAGGCTTTGCTAAAAATCCTTGATTTTTTCATGACACTGAGTTTTTATGAGAATATTATTTCTCAATCAATCTCATCTCTCTTTTTCTCTTTCAAAATTTCATGTCATCTTTGTTACTCTCTAAGGTGCTTTTATTCCCTTTTGCAATCAAGGATGGGCAAACTGCCAGGCAGATGTTATAAATGTCTCCATCTCTGTGAGAAGATATATGCCGTTTTAACATGACCCATAAGACTGCAGTTATGATGCAGTTTTACCATGACCCAGATAAGAAACTCTTCAATAACACAGAGGAGAGTTTAATTATCACATCACAATTTTGCTATTTTTTTTTTAATGCACTTTGGCTGTGAACCCAAGTGCAAGGTGCAAAATAAATTTTAATGCCGTTGTCTTAATTTGGGTCCCCATAAAGCAAAGGCTGTGTTGGTATATGCTACTCTTTTGTTAGGGAGTGTAAACTTAGGGAGACAGGAGTGGAGGGAAAAGAGCAGTGAGATGGGAAAGGAGGGAGAGTTACTCACTTCTGGTTACAAGTTACTCTTGCCCACTCAGCCTCCCAGGCAGGCCCATGTCCATGGCAATTCTTGCTCACCTGATGGTAGTGATTAATGGAAGATAGTTATATATTTTCCGAAATAGAAATTCACATCAACTATTTAAACTGTGTCCAGAAATAGACTTAATATCCAAGCAATGCCATCACAATTTTTGGTAATAACCCAGCATGAATTTTTTATTTACTGACAACATTGAAATGATTCATTTTTTTCAGACTTGATGAAATCAATACATTTAAATTAGTGTAAGATTTAAAGCCTAATAGATAATCTCCTCTCCCTTCACACCCTCCTCCCTGTGCCACAAACACAGATGTGTACTAGAAAGGCCCCCTAAAAAACAAAAGGTATTTATGGTTAGAGGGAAAAAAATGAAACAAAAAGAGCCACATGCCGTGTTATAGTGACAACATAGGGTCTCCACTTTGCAAACTCTTGAAGAGGGAAAAGGACATCTTCTCATGTCTTATATGCACACACTAAGGAACTGACTTAACTGATGGGTTCAATATATTTCTGAATATAATGATTGATATGGTTCGGCTGTGTCCCTCCCAACTTCATCTTGAATTGTAGCTCCCATAATTCCCACGTGTTGTGTGAGGGACCCGGTGGGAGCCAACTGAATCATGGGGGTGTTTCCCCCATACCGTTCTCATGGTAGCGAATAAATCTTACAAGATCTGATGGTTTTTAAAGGAGAAACCCATTGGCTTCCTTCTCATTCCCTCTTGTCTGCTGCTGTGTAAGACGTGGCTTGTGCCTTTCACCTTCCGCCATTTTTATGAGGCCTCCCCAACCATGTGGAACTGAGTCCATTAAACCTCTTTTTCTTTATAACAGACTAATACAATGATTGAATTAGAATCAAGTGACTGGCCACAACTAAATTCTACAGAAATCTCAGGCTTTTCTCACACTGTGATTTTATCTCAGCTTAGAAGTTCTGACTAGTTATTTCATTATTCACACATGTAATATAGTTATCCTGTCTATAAACTCAGTGGTTAACATTTGACCTCATTTGTTTTGTTTGTTTTTCAAATAATGAAGCATCTGTGAGCCAGATATCATCACTATTTTGCCTGATTTGCAAAATTCACTTCCACCCTTTTAAGACCAAGATACCCTTAGGCTAGATCAAATTTAATGAGATGACCTCTCTTGCGTAATTCCCATCAAAGATGTACGGAGGGATGCCCTTTTACTACATGTATAATTATCGACCAATTTTATAAAATGCTCAGCAACATGCCTGGAAGAAAACTCACACAGATTGATATATGTGATGAGAAATTATTTCCACAATTTCTTATTCCCTTACTCAATCTGCTCATGGCCATGGAAAACACAAACATGGAGGAATGTGTTTTAAAACAGTAGCAACTGGATGAATGGGTCATTTGCCTGAAGTGCAATAAAAGAGGAGATTTTGGCTTCTGTTATAATAAATATCTGCAGGACGGTGATGTGGGATGTAGCTCAAGGAATCTTACCCTGGGCTGTATGAGCAGCAAGAGTCTCCACAGCCCCATTCCTGCGTTTATTCCAGGTGCATTTTCACAAGTACCACTGCCCTATTCATGTGAATCCCTCCTGTATTAGTAGTAGGTAAGCAGAGGTGGGCAGGTGGCATGGGATGCAGGAAGATGGATATTTGAATGGGAACAGGAACGTAACAAGGAAGTACGGCAAAATTCAGAGGCAATTAGCTCTGAAGTCAGGTAGGACTCACAATATGGTCCTCATGATGAAACAGTTGCTTCCCTCTGTTCTGCCGTATGTGCTTATTGGTTGATAGCCTAGAGGAATAATCCTTGAAATTTCTGACTTATAAACTCAGTATATCCAACTGAGAAAAATCCCGGGGGTATAAGAAGGGAGGAAATCAACACAAAATCAGTGAGTGAAACACTTCGAAGAGAACACAGTACCAGGTCTGAGCAGAATGCTTTATAAAAGTAGAGTTGGTTCCTAAAAGACTGAAATCTTTGTTCAAAGGAACAGATAAAAGAAACTTCAGGGCAATTTTGAACGTAGTAAAGACTTTGTATTTGATAGCATTACCATATTATTACCCACGTACCTCCAATACAGCTGTATAGTTTTTTAGGGCTATCAGAAGTCAAAGGTAGCACTAACTTTTCTGTTAGTGGAGAACATCTGAGTTGCTCGGTTCCATTCAGCATGCTTGGAAAAGGGCCATCTTCTCAACTACTAAAATCGAAAATGGATTAGAATGCTGGTTCATTTGAGGATTTTATTTATTTATTTATTTATTCATTTATTTATTTTGAGACAGAGTCTCACTCTGTCACCCAGGCTGGAGTGCAGTGGCGCCATCTCAGCTCACTGCAACCTCCGCCTCCTGGGTTCAAGCGATTCTCCTGCCTCAGCCTCTCAAGTAGTTGGGACTACAGGCACACGCCACCATGCCCGGCTAATTTTATTTTTAGTAAAGATGGGGTTTCACTGTGTTAGTCAGGATGGTCTCGATCTCCTGACCTCATGATCTTCCCGCCTCAGCCTCCCAAAGGGCTGGGATTACTGGTGTGAGCCACCGCGCCTGCTAAGGATTATATTTTAATTCTGTACTTGTCATTCATTTTATTTCTCCAGAAGAGCTTGAAATACTAAGAATTTAAGAATTTAAAAAAGTGATTCAATACCCAATTAAATAGAATGAGGAAAATTTAATGTAACAAAACTAACAATGTATGAAGGATGGTATTTTAGATATTTGATATTTGACAATTTTTGTTTGTTTTCCACACAGGACACCCAGTTTGCATTGTAAGCACAGTGCTATCCCACGGATTTACTGACACTCTCTGAAGCACTGTGATGTCAGTGATCATTTTTATGCCTGAAACTGGGTTTCAGCCCCTTTAATTAGAAGACCAGGCAGATGTGTGTGTATACAAATATATATGTACATAAATGTGTGCATCCATATGTACATATGTATACACACACAACCTATGTTGTACAGGCTATATATTAAACAGATTAAAATGTCCTCATAAATAATTATAAAGCAAGGTTTCCTTGACTGTGCTTCTATCTCAGATACCTGTAACAAAACTCAGAAAGAGGCCAGTGTAGCCAACGGTATCTTTTTCAGAGGTAAAGCAAGTGAAAAAAATACTATCTTTTTCTAATTTGTTTGTGATGTGGCTGATGTGCCTCATTATTCAGGAGTCCCACTCCTGTTTCAGATATTAGCTTGATCAAAGATTATCATTTTATGACACCTGATCCCTGGGCCGCATGTCATTATATTATACCCAGCATGGTTACCCTGTATAGGCTGCCCTGAACTTGCAAAATCTCACAGAGCCTTAGTGAAACCGTTTTTCTACATATTTTGCTGTCATCTACCCTTTTAAGAGCTCTAACACAAGACTCTGGTACGTGTCAGGCAGGGACAAAGTGGAGAAAGAAAGCCACAGAAGCAAGGCCTTTCACAGTGACTTATGATCCTGGGACCCAATTTGAACACCTAGAAACTCTGCCTCCTGCAGTGAACTCTTCCTGAGTCGCTTGTACGTGACCAAACACATCTGAATCCTTTGGAGAACAAAGTGTAGACTCAAAACTTTTCCTATGATATGACAGTGACAAAGGAAGATATGTCCACGTTAATTCAAATTTTACAACAATACGATGCATTCTACCCCAGATTCACACACACACCATAAGACCAAATGCCGACCCCGAGCAGATTAAAGAAATTCGTTAACATCATGAGAAACGAATCCTTAATTTCTCCATAGTAATTTCAAGATAGACGATGTCCCACTCGTGAAACATCTTAAAGTTCTGTAGAAGGGTGCTGTCATTAATACATCAGTACATGCCTCTGTGTGTACCTAATTATCACCTACGTTTACTTCATGCTGCTAAAAATGTTTCTCAAGGAAAAATACCATGGCTCATTAGCTCGCAAAATTAGTTGAAAGAGTTCGATACCCTATAATGCAGGGGAATTTAATTTTTCTATTATTCAAAGTATTGCCTTTTAGTTCATATGGATAAAATATATTATTGTGATTTATCAAAAAGTATGTGTAGTAAACTATTGAAATAAAACATATGGTGAAACCACTCACTTATTTTTGCTGACTTACCATTTCAAGCGTTAGTACATGTAATTACCATTTATATGGGGTCATTCACATACATATCAAAAAAGACTTTTTTCCAAGAAAAAGTTTCATAGCATTCAAATCTCACTGTGTCTTTCACCAAACAGTTCACATTCAGTTTAATTTTATTGTCCATACCTGGATTGGAAATTGTTTCACATTTTTAAAAAACTATTCTTATTACAAAGTATCCTTCACATCTCACGAACTAATTAACTTTAGTAAGGACACCTAATTAATTAAATATTCCTAACTGTAGATGTTGTTGACTCAGTTTAAAGGTATCTGACAAATAGTAGCAGTGCCTGAAGTTTGTGGGGTCAGTAAAAAAGAGTTGTCATGCCAACTGCACAGTCACTGTGTGACCACAGGGGGAGACACTGTGTGACCACAGGGGGAAGTCACTGTGTGACCACAGGGGGAAGACACTGTGTGACCACAGGGGGAAGACACTGTGTGACCACAGGGGGAAGACACGTGCCTCTCTCAGCCTTCAGCTGGTTCGACTGTGCTCTACCTCGTGAACCCTCCTATCACCATCCCCACTTGTACATTTCCCTTGTGATGGGATGCTCGAACTGTTCAGTTATGTAATGCAAATTCATGGATTCCTATGATGATGAATGATGCATATGGCTTCAAGACATGAGATTTACTCTTGAGAACACATTCTCTTTATGTTATTATTAATAATTTTGATTATCCAGTTTTTACATAAACCAAAGTCCCAACATAATGTAAACCAATGTATTAAATCTAAAAGATAAAATTCATCCAGTCTTCCAAAAATTATTTTCACCTTTTTATTTGTACTTTCATGACTCAGAAGTCTTTTTTTTTCTTTTAATTATAACCATTTGACTTTCTTCTGTTGATTAACGTTGTTCCAAAAAAAGGCCAAAAAGAAAGGAAAAGGCACTACAGCATATTTGTTGCTGCACGTATTCAATTTGAAATTGTATTGACCACTGGAGTCAAACTACATTTGAAAAAAAATGGAGTCGAAATGGGAAAAATATTCTGGATCAGGAAAAGACAGTGACCTCCCTCTGTCTGCTACTAAATAGCGTCAGGCCTTGGAGTAATTATTGATAATGCCCATTCTGAAGCCACATTGTAAGGTTCTAAAATATACATTTGAGAATTTTATCCACTCTAGGAGTAGTAGGTTGTGTTTTTTGGTTTAAAAACATTTCCTTAAGAATAAGAAAACAGAACTTTATCTAATATATGTTTTCAAAGCCCTTAGCTATCCATTGCGTGATCTATCTTGCTCTGTTTTCTAACTTTTCATTCTTTTGCCAATAATATTTTATTTGATTAACTTGTCTTATCTTGAGCAGTTTCTCAAAATAAGGAGCCTAACCACAGCTCACATAGTTTCGAAATAGAATCACGAAGAAGGAAAGCCAAGGTAGTTAAAGACGGGGAGTACGTTTTATTCACTCAGGAATGATTTTCCATTTGTTTGTGTCATCTCTGATTTCTTTGAGCAGTGGTTTGTAATTCCCATTGTAGGGATCTTTCACCACCCTGGTTAGCTGTATTCCTAGGTATGTTATTCTTTTTGTGGCTATTGTGAATGGGGTTGTGTTCCTGATTTGGCTCTAAGTGTGGATGCTGTTGGTGTAGAGAAATATTATGGATTTTTGTACATTGATTTTATATCCTGAAACTTGGCTGAAATTGTTTAACAGATCTAGGGGCTTTTGGGCAGAGACTATGGGGTTTTCTAGGTATAGAATTATGTCATCTGAAAACAGAGATAGTTTGATTTCCTCTCTTCCTATTCGGATACCTTTTATTTCTTTCTCTTGCCTGATCACTCTGGCTAGGACTTTCTAGTACTATGTTGAAAAAGAGTTGTGAGAAAGGGCATCCTTGTCTTGTTCTGATTTTCAAGGGAAATGCTTCCAGCTTTTGCCCATTCAATATGCAGTTGGCTGTGGGTTTGTCATAGATGGCTCTTATTATTTTGAGGTAGGTTCCTTCAGTGCCTAATTTGTTGAGAATTTCTAACATGAAGGGATGTTGAATTTTATCAAAGGTCTTTTCTGCATCTATCGAGATGATCAAGTGGTTTTTGTTTTTATTACTGTTTATGTGATGAATCATATTTACTGATTTGCATATGTTGAACCAACCTTGCAACCCTGGGATAAAACCTACTTGATCATGGTAGATTAGCTTTTTGATGTGCTGCTGGATTCAGTCTGCTGGTATTTTATTGAGGATTTTTGCATCGATGTTCATCAAAGTTATTGGCTTTATGTTTTCTTTTGTTGTGTTTCTGCCAGGTTTTTGGTATCAGGATGATGCTGGCCTCATAGAATGAGTGAAGCAGAAATCTTTCCTTCTCCATTTTTAGGAATAGTTTTAGTGTAAACGGTATCAGCTCTTCTTTGTCCATCTGGTAAAATTCAGCTGTGAATCTGTCTGGTCCCAGGGTTTTTCTTGTTAGTAAGCTTTTTATTACAGATTCTATTTTAGAACTCATCATTGGTCTGTTCAGGGACTTAATTTCTTTCTGGTTCAATTTTGGGAGGCTGTTTGTTTCCAGAAATTTAACAATTTCCTATAGGTTTTCTAGCTTCTGTACTTAGAGGTATTTGTAGTAGTATTCTGAGAGATTTTTGTATTTCTGTAAGTTTGGTGATACTGTCCCCTTTGTCATTTCTGACTGTGGTAATTAGATCTTCTCTTTTTTCTTTATTAGCCTAGCTAGTGGTCTATCAATCTTTTTTGTTCTTTGAAATTACCAATTTCTTGATTTGTTGATCTTTGAGACGGTGTTTCTGTCTCAGACTCTTTCAGTTCAGCTCTGATTTTGGTTATTTCTTGTCTTCTGCTAGCTTTGAGGTTGACTTGCTCTTGTTTTTCTAGTTCTTCCAGGTGTAATGTTAGATCTTTACTTTGATCACTTTAACGTTTGAATGTGGGCATTTAGTGCTATAAACTTTCCTCTCAACACTGCTTTAGCTGTGCCCTAGAGATTATCATATATTATATCTTTGTTCTTATTAGTTTCAAAGAATTTCTTGATTTCTGCCCTAATATCA